TTGTTGCTGCTGCGTTTGTGGGATGGTGTCACAGCAATTGCATTGAGAGTTTTTCCGTTCCTTGTTCAGTTGCGTGTAGGTCATTAATCAGAATTTTAACGCTCGGTTAAATCTAAATAATTGCATGGACACAGATTGAATTTTCGGCACCAATTTGGCGATCATTCTCCCATATGTTTTACTGTTTAGCCGTTAATTTATCTGACTTTAAAATAAACGCTCTCTTGAAAGCTCATTTTGAGTCTGTTGTTATTACGCATACGGCTTGCCTTAAGTGCTCCAGCTTTTACAAAATGGTAATTAAACTGAGTGGAGCGCAGTTTCTATAGGTAATCACATGATTTCGAGTGTAATTTGGGATAAATCGGCACGTGTAAATTTTAACAAGGCTGACCAAATTGCACAAGAGAATGCAATTTGTAGTCTTCAATTTACAAGTGCATATTTATCCTAAATTTCACGGAAAAATTATGTGACTACTACTTAATAATGCATAAGCAAAAATCTGTCTCTGCCTTTAGTTGTTTTTATTCCTTGCCTTGACTCACTGGCTCGGCCGCCTGCCTTTGCTTTGTTGCTGGAATAGGCAGGCTTTTCCCTCAAGAACTTGCTTCAAGCTTTCTAACTCTCTATCACGAATAATGGGGCGTTTGTACTCTTTCTCTGTTAGGTATCGGTCGACAGCAGTAACCATAACACGAAAGCCATCGCGCTCGTATAAATCTTCTCCGTCTTTAGAACGAACTGTTTCGCAGCACTCCCCAATAACTTTTTTGGGGCCTCTGGTTCATACTTTCATGGCTGTTTTTTGATGCCCAAGACCTCCAGAATTTTAGCCAGTTGTTTCCGCCGGGTTGTGTCTTTTAGCTTTTACTTCCCTTTTCCGCCAAAAATCATAAGTCATTTGTAAAAGAAATAATGTGTCTTTCCGATGTTTGTACAACACTGCAAATATTATTGAACTTCCACAAAACAGACAAAAATAAAAAAGGGGCAAGATTGACGAAAAGTAAACTTTATGGAATTTTGATGCGCAAAATCCTTTTTCATGATGCGAAGATGATACCAAAGCTTAGCTTTTTTGAACATGTCCCTTTTTTGAGGCAATACGTTTTTTTTTCCTTCTCATGAACGAAAAACATATATAATTTTCAGGTCAGAAGCCCTCACTCAGCTTTTAAAAACGAGTCTTTTTTTATAACGGAGCTATCTTTCGCTTTCTTCCTGATGCTGATCACTATGACATGCAACACATGGCTGTTCATCGCAGTTGTGATTGGTCGAGGGTTGGGCTTTTATCTTGTGTCACCGCTGATTAAGTCATATGTTGGTAGCGCGGAGACTGATGACTGCATTGACATATCGATTAATTTACTGACCACAGGACATCAGCAATTGTAACACTTGCTCAAATATAATAAACTGCAAAGAAGGAACCAAGTGATCTACTCGTGCAATTGAATGGTGACTTTGAATGTATGACTTAAAATTATGTCGAATCCCCTCTATCTGCCGTTTTTTATCACAGTTTTCAATATTTCTTCAGACATAATGAAACCTGTTTCCTATCACTGTCGGCCGTCGTATCAGTGTGGCACGCTTCTGATGACGTAGTACTCATAACGAAAAAAAATAGACATCTTTTTACTGCGTCTCCTACTTCAAATCATTCCGTAGTATCACATCATAAGTTTAGTTAATTGTCACTTTGTTTTAACCCAAAGTGTTTGATGACCTAACCATTTTAAATGCCACCATGGCAACAGCGAAAGTTCAGACTCTACAAGCTCGGTTTTTACCAACAGCGAACTATTTCTGTGAGCTTTATCATGGGGTCATAACAGCACGGAAAAGCGCTGGATTTTCCAGGAGAGCTATGTTATACATTAAAATTGTAACGTTGCATCATCTTTGCATGCTTTTCTTTTCTCGTTTTTGTAGCCTTTCAGTTTCTTTGGGGTTCGTCAATGGGGGAATGCCACTTTTCAGAGGCCCACTTCTATCCAATCTCTACCCCCTGGAGTTTTTTTTTTTTTTAATGGATGCCCACTCCCTCCAGTCAGAGAGGAGGCCCAGCTCCCTCCTCTTTACCAAGTAATGCTAACAGTGACCCTGGAAGAAGACCAACTCCCTTCTCGTCATCCAGTCATCGTCATCTCGTTTTAGAGTTTTTTCTTGTTAATTTAGGGGTCCATGAGGCTAAAAACTTTTAACTGAACACCTTGTCACCCACTTCCCCATTTTCAGCCGCACAAAGTTGTTGTTGTCTTTATTTTAAGAGAAATATGGGGAAGTTGATTAATTATCTTATAACCCTCCCGGGCCCATTAATTTTCGTATCGCGCGTTAACAACAAATTGCTTCACATTTTTGTTCTTTCCAGAACCAACCGAGACCGCACTGTACTAAGCAGTCATCCCTTATTGAGCGGTCGCTTGTCTAAATCCCGGATTTGTTTCCGCTTCATAATCGTATTTTCACCTCTATTAAGCGGTCGTCTCTATAGAGCGGACGTCATCACCTTTGAGTGAGTCCCAACGGCATGTTTTTATTGTCCTCCACCTGTATTGAACGGCCACTTCAAAGTGAGTATAATTTTTCAAATAATTTTGATCCATGTTTTTCTCCCAAAATTAAAGTAAGTAGTATATTCAAGCGAGATTCTGTGATCAATTATGTGGTCAATTATGGCATAAAGTTGCGTTGTTTATCGTTTTTATAATACCCTTAATCGAACATGTATTAAGCGGTCAACCTGTATTAATACCCCAGGTTCGATTGGGGTCTACAAAACGCGTTTGTTTTTCTTCCATGTAAAGCAATAAAGATGAAACTCTTGAGCTGACACATTCCGCTGGCTTTGCTCCTTTTATACGGAAATAATAGAAGGGCAAATATCGACGTAGGCAAGGGTTATCACGTGATACCTCTCCGGTGAATTTTTACCACGTGACGTAAAGTAGCCTTAGATGGATTATAATGGGGTGGATCATAATAAGCGATGCCTAACTGGGAAAGAGGGAAGATGCTCGATTATTCGTGACAGAAAGTTTACAAGCTCCTAGCAAGTTCATGCGGGAAAACCCCGATTACTCCGGCAACAACTAAAAGGTAAGCGGCCAAACAAGTGAGCCATGACATTAAATACAACACTACAAAGAGGAAAACAGACACGCTACAAACGCTTAGTATTTTTTTCATGGTAACTTGAAATAAAAATACTCGTAGCTGTGATTAGAAGTATGGTCTTGAAAAGGAGGCTACCTTATAGGTCAAACGTGCGCATGCACACGCAGGTCAATCAGTTCCCAGACCGTTCAGTTTTAAAAACAATGCGTGTAACATGAAACAAAATTTTTCCTTTTTTTATCACAACTATTCTTTACTCTTATCTCTTTAGGCCTGTTCACGTACTGGCACACGAAATAAACAATGTTCCCGTCTGACTAATTCAAGTAAGAAAAAAAAAAGGTTTGTATTGCAAAATAGATGGCTTTAATAGAAAGAACATGATGGAGTTTATTGGATCCCAAATCTTACCACGCTCCCATTGAAATTTGCCTGGAAAAATTCTTTCCCAAATCTTCAATATCAATAAGCGAAATATAATTCCTACAACATTTCCTCGTACAAGAGTCAACCTGCACTCAAAAATCACCAAAAGGGCTTCCACTCCATTTTTGCTTCAATTGCTGTAAGACTGTTATCCGTGATAAATGATTACAGATTTTGTAGGTCAAGGAAGGTTTCATCCCATTGGTAATCAAGGATTCATTCTTTTTTTCGAAAAAATAACCGATGATTTAAAATTTTTGTGGGAAGGAAAAGAAACGAAAAACATTTACGACGAGAACAGCTGCGTTCAAATTACTTGGCAGCTCTCAACATTAAAATGAACTGAAGGGTAAGGACATATAGACTGAAGTAGTTCTTGCAAGTTGAATTCGTTTTTAATCACATCAACATCTATCATTTCTTAGCACTATGTTATTCTAGAAATTTAATGCTGCAAATGCAAGATAAGCTAATGACAGTGAGAGCGTGAACTCGCTTACGTCACGATTCGTGCGTCTTAAGCCAGATTTGTCTTTTTTTTTTAAAGAACAAACACCCTTAAGGCTCACGTCGAACTAAATTTGTGGCTGAACAACCCAAAAACGTGAATTTAAGCGTCACGAGGACTATTTCCGACTTAAAACGTACTTTTCGCTATCTGAGACGTCAGATATCAATTAAAGTTTGACGGAAATTTTCGTCAGTCGGAAACGTCTTTTCTTAAACTACAAATACTCACCAGGTATTCGAGTTCGAAAAGCAAATTTCCAGAGTACTCGCGGACAGGAAACGTTTGTTAATTAAGGGAAGGATATTTAAAATCTTAGTTTGATTTCATCTTAAAAGTTTCTAATTGGAGCAAGGAAGGCTGAGGAGCTAGCATCACGTTCGCGAATAATTAATTTTTTAGTTCAATTTGTCGAAGCTGACGAAATCCAATAGCTGTGAAGTTCTCCTATTCACCAAGTCACCCTCCTCTAGACGACATTGAATGAACAAGTTTTGCTGCACGTTTTCGAACAAAGATAGATTTATATCAAGATACCCTTTTGAATGTTCTAGCGGTGAAAGTTACCAAAATGCATTCATATTAATTACCATTATCAACATCGTAAAGGAATAGTTAATCTGAAATTTCTTTCAAGCGCCAAAGTGTCAATTTCAACATAAGTGACTGCCTTTGAAGTTTTAGATGTTTATGAAAGCGTCTTTTAAGAGACGTGAAATTTAGGATCACAATTCTTAGACAAATCATCCCTTAGAAATGCGTTCTTTCTGTTTTAAGCCCACGAGATAGGGTACCTCCGGGGCAGAAATCCCGCTTTTATTAATTGAGATATCAGGATATGGATCTGATTCTGCATTGGCGGCTAAAAAAAAAAAGCCTCTTATAACGGAAACGCAATATCAAGATATACTCTATTCTTTTTACTTTCAGGACTAAGTAAACATCCCGCTGAGGACAAGGAAAACAGTTCTCATGAAACTCGCACGTCTGGTAACAAATTTAATAACTTAAAAAGTTGTGAAGTTTAAGCTTGAAGCTTTTGAGTAGTTCGTCGACCATGTTCGCGACGGAAGGCCAAGACAAATGTATGACGGTTCCTCCACCAACCTCATTGTCTTCTTTCACTGCCGCTATATCTGCACTCTTGGCAGTCGTGACTGTTCCTTGCAACGTTTTGGTGTGTCTTGTCATTCTTAAATGTCCACCCCAGTTTAAAAACTTGCGTACACCATTCACATATTTCATCGTCAACCTCGCCATGACCGACGTTCTTGTCGGAATAACAACAGAACCTATGTCAGTGGTGTATCACCTCATGGAAGCTCGAGCTCTTTCTTCAACAAGTTTTGTCAGGTTACTGCATTTGCTGTACTTTTTGCCTTGCACTGTCTCCGTTCTAAGCATCATGGCGCTTACCTTCGAGCGATTCTTCGCGATCGCAAAACCCTTAAAATACAGACGAAATGTGAACCATTTCAGAGTATTCGTGGTTTCGGGAATGATATGGATTTTATCGCCCGTGTTTTTAAGTCCTTATTTCGCAATGGGCTATCGCACCTTTTCGTTTCTATTTGCCAACGTCGTGATTTTGGTCACTCTGTGCTCTCTCCTTTACGCTTATTTCAAAATTATCAAGACTATCCAAAGCAGGAAAAAACTCCGGCAAGAAACACTTCGAGGATTCTGCTTTGCGAATCAGAAAGCAACATTATTCGAGGAAAAATTGACTTCCACGTTTACTTGCATCCTGATCCTATTCACTATCTGCTACGCGACACCTTGCCTTCTAATATACATCATGAATTTATGTACAAACTGCTCATGCGAGGCAATCCACTGGTTGAGGGACACATCATTTCTCTGCGTCATCTGCAATTCTGCCATCAACCCATTCCTGTACGCATGGCGTCTTCCCAGTTTCCGCAAAGGGCTGAGGTTTATGATGCTTGGAATCAGTAGAAAATCTTCGCTACCTAAGAACAGCACACTGAATGGCGCTTTCAACAATAGAGCATCCAGCCTCACTTTTCATTACGAGCCTTCAAGATCGCCACATTAGTGGGCGGAATTAGACCTTACTCCAAAATGGCGCCCGGAATTGATTATTTTTCAAATCATGAGAAAAAACGTCCTCAATGCAAAGAACATACGCAACAACAATAAAATAACACTGAAAATCTGAAGATAGTGCATCTAGCATTATCATATTTGTTCGTTAATTTAAAGCAGGTTATTTAAAAGCCTGTTCAGAGACAGCTTTCCCCCAATGTGCCTTCCGGAGCCATACAGGAAACGGTGGACACTTACAACACGTACGCACGGTTAAAAACAACTAGGACAAGGCAGTGCAAACTCACGTAATTCTACAGCCTTAACAAAACAATGCGGGATGGGATATAAAATTCCTCTCGTCATCGATAAAAAAAATAATAAATAAAGTGATCAGAAACCATCTTTCATTAGTATCAGATCCGTAGTTTTAAAAAAATTTTTGTAGCTTCAATTTCCCTGCCTTTTCGTCACATTCTCTCCTTAGAGCAACCAAGGGTAACCCAACTGAAGAAAAAATACAGAGCCATCCGTCTTAAAACGATTCAAATAAAGCACCAATCATACAAATAAGCTTTAATATCATTTACTTTCACTTTTCTCCGAGGATTGAAACACCATACATCGAATTCCTAGTTCTGAACAATTCTACCTGTCAAACAAAGGGGAACATCTAGACTTTCCTATTTCAGTTAGACAGTCATTTCGATCTCGTTACCTCTTGCACAATATCCGTGATATGGAAATTAGGGCAGGAAATGATTGCAATACTTGTGAAATCAGAAATTTCAATGTCAAAGCCTGTAAATTGCGAGCGACAAGCGCTTTTACATTATATGTACAGTAAAAAAAGGAATTTTAAACCAACAATCACACAGCAAAGGATCAAAACGGGAAACAGCGAAAACCTGAAGCAGAATAAAAATAAAAAATAAGAATGAATGTAAATAACATACGATCGGAACAAATTTTGATTGAAAAGCGGAAAGCAATTTTGAATTGATTACGGGAAATCATTAGAGGATTCACTGGCTTTGAATTTTATTATTATTCAATCGATGACAAGTGCCTCTCTTGACCCTTTCACACCTAAAAGTGACTAGCGTCTAATTTCTCCTAACAGTATAGTCCCTGAATCACACACTAAGGTCACGAGAATAAAGGAAATGATCACCAATTAAAGAAACTCTTCATTCTTTGACAAATTCTCTTAGTCAACACCTTCGGAAATGTATAGAGAACACTGAGGAGAATATGCATACTGATGATATGGTTTAAAGGGGTTTAAAAAGGGAAGCTTTTCGGGCATCTAACAGAAATATCTTATTATGTACTAACCTTATTTGCGGTACCACATTCTGATAGGCTCACTGCGGCGAATCTTCTTTTGCAGCTGTAACACTCCATACAGCAGAGCCTCTGCTGTGGGAGGACAGCCTGGGACGTAAATATCTACTGGAACTATCCTGTCACAGCCACGGACAACCGAGTAGGAATAGTGATAGTAACCTCCGCCATTTGCACAGCTGTTCAGATGCGAAAGCAAAAGCAGATATCATCAAAATGGAGACATCAAAAGTTTAACTTAACTGTAAGACAGAGAAGCTTATCAGGGTTTCTGTGACAAGAAATGCCTTTAAGTAAGAGTTCTGCTTCTCTCCTTGGATGTGACGTAAGTCCATCATAGGTTACGAGTATGCCATTTAGACTCCTTAATAGAAACGGTGATCTAACAGTTAGTGTACTGGATCTAGCTGCCGTGTCATTGTATGAGACACTGTACTGTCACAGTACCTCTTCCCAACCATATCTAGTGGGTGATGGTGATCCGTCTGGGAAGCCAATAAAAATGCTGAAGAAAGGCGGGGGGGGGGGGGGAAGAGAGAGAGGAAAGGCTGAGCATAGCCTGCAAAGGACTGGCCTCCCATACACAGGATGGACTAAGCTCAACAAAGAATCTTGCACAAGAACACAAAACAATGACCCTGCCAGGGCTAAAATCTGGCCCTCTCAACTCCTCGTTAATATTGCCGTTTTAATGACCCACCAGAAAATTATACAGTAACACAAAAACCATTCACACCACAAGAAAAATGTCACCTCATACCTTCCCATTGAGATAACCCAGCGAGGCTCAGGCATCTGGTCATAGACCTGAAACAAGGATCAAGTAGTGGGTGAATATGAAGTGGCTTAGAAACATCTACAGAGAATCAATTTCTTGAAGTTTCACTATAACAAAGCCTGACTAATCCAGCACTTCTACTGTTCTACAGTAATTGGCACAGTAATCAGTTGTGCAAATTACTTGTCTGAGTTTGTAACAACTACCATGCAACTGTCACTTAGATTTTGAAAAGTGTATACATTTTATGTGTATGCACGTATTCTTAAAGATTCTAAATGAAAAAAAGTCAAACCAAGAATATTACATATCTACCATACAAATACTTCAAAAAATTTTTTTCACCACCATGGACCATTGCATCTACAAGTACCTTTCTCAGAGCAGGAGCCATTTTATTTGTCAGAGTTCCAGCCACAATCATCACGTCCGCTTGACGCTGCCCAAAGCAACAGTTTAGAGAATGGTAAGCATGATATAAAAATGTACATTGATAAGCTACATGTACAGTTGTAGATCACTCTAAGGTGTCTCAGTAATACCCAACTATTTTCATTTATCAATTGCCCTACATTAACAAAAAAAAATTGCAGCAACACAGCCTTTAACTTAAATTCCAGCCACAAAGTAAAAGAGATTGTTTCCAAGAACTGCTAAGGGTTGAAAAATGTACATAAATTTACACTTGGCCCATATGTGATGTACATGTAGTTCTGATGAGTATTCTTTGGTTGTGCCTTCCAAAGTGTTGACTGAGTTTCTATCAAGTTTTTCACCACTCTGAAGTCATACTATGACATATTAACAAAATGGTAATTTGAATAACCTAACTCAAATACCATCTACATGTATTTCATATCTTAAAAAATAACAGTCAACAATGCATGGCAGAAGTTGTAACATGTGTCAATTAAAACAAAGTGTTCAGTGTAGACAACTATTAAAATGGTAGCACATGATATCAATGATTGTTGTATGTATACTTACAGGGCTTGCTCTGAACACAACACCAAACCTATCCATGTCATACCTAAAGAAAAGTACAAACAGGTCTCAGAGTCAATTATCACTACTACTACTACTACTACTGTCTTTATCAAAAGGTAAATAATATAAAACACAATCTTCTTTTTTATACCTGGGTGCAGCAAAATGCATCATTTCCACAGCACAACAGGCAAGACCAAATGTCATTGGCCACAAGGAGCCCTGAAAGCAAAAGAAAGGATATTAACACAATGCAATATCAAAAGCAAAGTGTATATACATGTAGCTGTTAGAAAACAAATCCAAAGCTGTAAGTTGCTGTACAGTCTATAGTACTATATCTATGCATCAACTACAAAATATCAAACTACAATGGTGGTGTAGCCATATACATACTAAAATTTTCTGTTACATTGATACCGATAAACACCTTAAGACAGCAAAAAGATAAAGAAACATATTCTTATCACTGTGTTCACAACATGCATTTGTACAAATCTTTTCACTCAGTCTTACCCTGCGAGCCCAGTTCACTATATCATCAATTGTGGCTAGGACAAATTCTGCAGAAAGGTTATAGTGGAGCAAAAAAAAGAAGTTATTAAGCAACTCGTTTAAAGCTTTCCTTGTAATGATCAGGACACAAGGTTTCTGGTCTTGTGTTGATTCTGGTACCAAATCTACTTACATTTAGTGGTTATAACAGTCACAAAACTTGTGTTTTAACCCTTTAACTCCTAGATCAAATTTGTGTTTCTTCTTACTGTCAACCATAAAATTCTTATAATGTTGGTTCAGAGAATTCAGTATTGGATCAACTTATTATCCTCAAATTGATATTTTTCTTTATTCTCATCACTTATCTGGTTGATATTGTATCGATATTGTGAGGAGAAATTTTGATTCAGTCACTCATGGGAGTTAAAGGGTTAAACATTTGGCTCATTTTCATTGAACCAAATGTTGGAAAAGGAACGAAAAGTTTCTTAGAAATGATAAATTTTGATAAAGCTGAACAAGAAAACATGTTAATTTCACCACACTTTAAGTAATATACACTGTAATTACCTGCAGCATTGTCAATTTTTCCTTTAGGCTTGGCAGAAAAGCCTGTGGTTATACTCTGGTTTTTGTTTGCAGCTATAAGCCTAGAGAAAAATGTGAAAAAAAAAATTTAAAGAAAGTCCAAACCAAAACATCTACAGATGTCACCTACCTGTATACTGAGATTTTATAAGATCTTTGCATCCAACTAAGTTTTAAATATTTCAAAGGAAAGAGAAACACTTGCAATTTTGAAAATTTACAAGAGAGAGCAAATGTTTAGACCAATAAAAAGTACAGTCCTCCTCAAAAATCTCCACACAAAATACAACAGTTGTCATTCCATACTCTCCCAGTATCTAAATAATTCTTTAGATACAATGTATCTGCCAAACATTTTGCACTGTTTTACTACTTAAGTTTCCAGTAGAAACTTATGAAAACTTTCAGTAAATGACCACTGATAACATGGCTATCACAAGTTTTTTCCACCTGAGGTAAGACTCTTGGAAAAAACAGGCAACAGAACATTTTGTGCACCATTTTGTATAAGGGGCACTTTTAGTCTGTTCTGTCAATGAAATTTCTAGGTATCTTTTAGATATCACTAACCCCTGAGGTCCTGCCCTCCAAAGCATTACACTGTTGAAGAATCCATGACTTAGAGCAGGCAAACCATTGCGACCTGACAAAAAAAACACGAGTCAAAGAGACAGATACAAATGTTGCAAAGTTACATATTTTCCCTCAGAAATGGATAGTGTTAAGATAATACTGAGATATTCTAATGGCAACACTTTTTTTAACATGAAGATATGTGCATAAATGAAGACTTTTGGCTATGAAGAGTACTAACTGTCTGCTTATATAATTACTCTACTAAGACATATAGACTTATACAACTGATATTTCAACAGTGAAAGAACAATAATACACACGTTCCTGAAAACAATCTGGTTTCCTTTGAGCTTTAAACCCCTTAAAATTCAAGATTGAAAGGTTCATTTTCCAAAAATTTCAATCAGTACCATCCCACACCAGCTACCTCTAGGATGGCATGTAGAGCACTGTTTACAGTGTATAATTCAAAAGTCAAGTGCCTTCATCTAATGAACAGTACGCGTTTTATACAAGTAGACATAAAGTCACCATCAAATTTAGATAATTAAAATTATACCCATACAATAAATAGATAACAAAAATACATACAATTAT